GGTGGCACTCTAGTGGCAAAAGTTATTAAAATGTTAAAGTCACGTGTTCGAAGCTTAGAGATGGCAAATTTATCTTTTGAAGTTTGAACTTTGAACTAACCGTTGAAAAAAGAAGAAGAAGAAGAAGAAGCTGCTCCATCCAGCATGGAGAATTCGCCTGAAACTACCGGTTGGACGGGTGAAGTGGTTTTTTCAAGTTTGGACGGTTGGATCGTCAAAACGAGTTTGGGTGTCCACCTAACCCGTTTCAATAACCGAGTGGTGATTGAATCAATTGAACCAACTGATTCAATCTGATTTTAAAAACATTGCTTATAATGTAATAGGCAGTGAATTCGAAAGTGAAGGACACAACACTAGGTTGAAATTGGAAAACTGGAGATTCCATCTGGGATTAATTCCATGCTTGGGGGGGAATTTAAATATCTTCTCTTTTCGATGCGAAGGAATGATATTTTAGAACATGTACTAATGTAGTGTGCAGCACAAAATTCTTGTTATCTTGATGGAATTGGCTTGTTTTGTTTTGCAGATAAGGAGTGGGAAACCAAATAGTTTGTTTATTTAAGGAATTGAAGCATAGCAACCGTGGAACATATTTCCGTGAGATTACAATATTTCATATTAGTCTCAAGGAAACGTCCAGTTTATTATCCTTAGTGGGTTCCCTTTTGCTGCCTTTTCTCTCACGGTCTACGGGTGCAATTTGGTAATGGAACCGGTGGAGGAGATAACACCTTGAGTACAGGACTTCTCTCAAAGAAATTGAGTGGCCGGAGCTCGAATCCACCGCTCAAAGTCGGCATCATTGGATAATCCTCCTGGCAAGGAACATGGTGAAATCCCAGAGTGTACCACAGTACTATATCCTTGTTCTCAATGTTTCTATTCCTGCATATTCAGTTCAACAACCAAAACAAAAAATTTTATACAATGGTGTATTCGTAACACACCAAAACTTTAAATTAACTTATGAAAATTTTTATAAAATTAAGCCATAGTGATGCTGATGTAAGATATGTTGTCAAGATGTTTTAATTAATTAAGAACTTGAAATTCAAGTTGAAAATTTTGAATTTAAATCTTAAGGTAAATGGAGAGAATTAATGGCATAGTCAAATATTTTCTTTAGGGGTGGACAAACGAAATTTTGAAAAAAAAGACCATGCATCCTTGTATTAATTAACAGGCTAATAAAAAAATTTATTTTAAACCAAAATGTATTAGTCTTTAAGGATAAACTAATATTAACTGGTGGCATGGTATTATATATGACATTAACTAAAAGATAAAATAAATATATATTGAATAAAAGAATATTAATAAACAAAAAAATAAGTGGAAGGGTATTAATGAACAAAAAAAAAGTATTAATAAACAATTAATTTATAAAAAGATGATATTGTCAATTAATCTTTAATTTTATTATATTTTATTTTATCTTTATTTTCCTCATTTTTCTTATAATTAATAAAACTAATTTTAAAAAAAACAAGGATTAAAAAATAATTAAAATATATGAAATAAAAAAAGATTAAATTAATAAAAATATAATTTAAAGGACCAAAATTTCTAGTTCTTAAAAGTTCAGGGGGGCTTGTGCGGCTGTGCCCCACGGCCCCCTTTTCTCCGCCAGTGGAAGGGATTAAGGGAAGGAGGCTTTTCTATATTGTATAGCCCCTCATCTTATGCTAATATAAGATATCAATATGAAATAGTGTAACAAAATATTGGTTACCTCTGGCTCCAAACTGCTAAGGTGTCATCCCCATGACTTTGATCAACATATTTTCCTCCTGCCCATTTCTCAGACTTGTTATATGGAGTAACCCACACGTTGTAATTGGTGAATGCACCACGGACTTGAGGATAATCGTCAGGAAACATAACAGGACTTGAAACCGATCCCGGAATCAGTCGATATCCGATGGGATTTCCAGGCTTTGTTTTCTTGTTTGGATTAACTATTGCAAAATCAAATGGTTCCCTTCCAAGCCTAATCCGAGCATTGGACTCTGTTTTTAATGTTTCGGTCACGGCAGTCCAATAGCTCTTCCTAGGCACACCAGGCTCTGTAACATGTTTTGTCACCAGACCTGTTCTTACAAAGGAATTGGCAGTACCATCTATATCAAGATCAAAGTAGTAGGTCAAGAAGTGATCATGTGATACGGCAATGGAGTTTTCTGCCACCAATGTTCCATGCTCGTCGTCTTTTATCTGAGTTGTATGTGTCTGGTTCACTGCCTTCACTTCTAGAATTCCTGTTAGCCCAACCTGCACAGCAAAAATTTTCGACTTGTAAATTGTTTTTTTTTTTTTTTTCAACATTTAATAGTACATTTGATTTGAATCTTTTTTTTTAAAGGACTCTTTTCATTTAAATAAACCTTCTCTCTTTTTTAAATCTTTTACTAATTAAATAAATAAATTTTCACGTTTTTATTTTTTTTAAAACATCAAGAGTAAAACTTAAATCGTACACCTCAAATTTAATATAAAAATTCTTTTACAAAAAAATAATAACCACTGGCTCACAAATTTGTTCTCTTTCACATTTTTATTTTTTTTCAATCAAAGCATATAAAAAAGGATCTTTTTCTCCCCACCCCATATTGACAAGTACAGCTATAATCGTCACATTTTTTTCACTCCTAATTCAGAGTCTATCTCAAGGGTACATATTTTTCGTTTTTTGTTTCCTTCCTATCCTATCTCCACAAGGACCACAGGGATAAGGACCTTTCGTCATTGTACATAGGAATTGAAACTTACGACCTTATCATCATAGATGAAAGAAAACATGATATTACCCCAAGTTTAATTGAGCCACTAGGCTTGAATTCCCAATCAAGGATGTAGTCATAATTGCCCACTGTAGATACCATCCTGACTACCAGGCTCACATCCGACCTAACCTCCCTATACTGCAAAACAAAATAATTCCAAGGCCAAAACTTAAAAATAATGTAAAAGAAAAAAAAATAAAGAGGGTAGCAAGAGGTATTTATAATGTTTTTTTTTTTTTAAATCTTCAAAATCCACCGTTTCATTTGGAATTCCTGATTCTGTGTGGCGCCACATGATTTCTCCGGCATGGCGTTCAAATATGCAGAAAACATTGGAAATATTAGTGGGTGAGCCATCTTGTGCAGCATAGTATCCATCCAGGAATACAGCATTGGATGGACAATCAGTGAGGGGCTCCAGAGACACGGCGGAGAGGCCGAACCCAAACTCACCGCAGTCGAAGAAGGTTTTGAAGAACCAATCCTCAGAAGGGTCTTGGTAAGGTACGAATAGTTCAGATGTGTATCCTCTATACATTACCCGACGAAATTCCTGCTTCTCAAGATCATAGATTGATGCCAGGGAAACTATTGGCCCCACCCGAACATCAAAGGCAAGGTGAAACTCCCAATTAGCCCAACTGCTTATGATCAAATTTCAGTTCAAATATTATTAGTAAATTGAAAAAACTAATCATATACCTATAAAAATAATAATAATAACTATATAACAATACATTATAATCATAAAAAATTAATTATATAACAATACGTTATGCTTATAATTTTAAAATATCACCCATTATTGTAAGCATGAGAGTACTTGATAAAATTTAAAAAGCACTTACTTTAAAAGTATTATTTTTTTCATAAATTTAAAATTTTATTAGCAGAAAACACTTAAAATTAACTTTTCAAGTAAATTTTAAATAAATTTTGAAAAACTATACATCTAAACTTTTTAAAATTTACTTAAAATCCACTCTAAAACACAATTTTTTTAATTTTCTTCTAACAAAATTTTAAACTTATAAGAAATGAATAATATTTTTAAACAAATATTTTTAAAATTTTATCAAACACCCTCTATGTTACATTTGCTTTTTTAACTATATGTTTAAGTTGAGGAGAATTTTCCTTTCCCTCTCCTCTCCTCTATTTTCTTAAATCTAAACATATTATAAGATTATAAAAGACTACAAATATGTGGAGGAGGGTAATTGGAACTTATGTTGTCAATCACGTAACAACTAGCATTATAAGTGGTCTTTCAGTCCATTCTAAGTGGTGGTCCATCTCGAGGAGAACAAGAACTTAATATTAATTATAAAAAATATAATGTTATTTTAAATTATACATCTCTATTTTATTAAAAAAAAGCAGATGGAATAACTAAACTTGAATGAATATATAGAATATATATATATATACACTAAAAAATCTAATCTAAAACAACATGCCAATAATATTTTATCTTTTCATTATGAATTTTTTTTAAAAATAATTATTATTATCTTAAAAAAAATAGCAATAGCTAATAATAATAATAATAATAATAATAATAAGTACTAAATGACCTGATCATGTGTCCATTGATCTTGAACCCTGGTCCGTCAGGTTGCACCATTGCTACACGACTGAGCTTGGGGCCGAACGGTGGCTTCAGCACAGAAGCTCTATACTCAGTTCCCTCAGCTTTTGGAACAGTAGCTCTGAGCCTGTCACCATATCCTACGATCTTCATCTCATCAAGGGCAACGACAATCGCTATTCCTTCAATTGGTCTCACATAAATATTAACACTATCTTTCTTAGTGAAGCACTGAACTTTCAAAACCCTTCTACTCTTCTCTTCTCCATACCATCCAACAGTAAAAGTAGAGCAAACAACGTCGGATAAGTTCAGCCCTCTACTCTTTATGGACTCAATAAATGGCTCATACGTGAATGGCAACTCAATTGCAGCAGATTGCTCTTCGTTGGTTAGTAAAGGGTAGCCAGAACCTTCATAGACTTCATCAGAAATGACTTGTCTTTTCGATAGGTCTATGATGATCTCATGAGTTTGTTTGTTGAGTCGGATAATGGCTAGGGCTTGGCGAGGTGGTAGTTTGGTGGTCGGGTGTGAGAGCCAAGCGAGGACGAGTGGTTTGTCTGGCTCGTTTAGGCCTACGTATTGGAAGGTGAGATTGTGGTGTGGAGTGGGGTAAGATTTATTGACTATGTTTTGAACCAGGGTGAACTCGGCCGGGCTAAGAGAGTCTAGAGGGTGCTGCAGCTCAGCATCGATGGGTGAGGCTAGGGAGAAGAAGAATATAGAGAAAAGCAAGGAGAGCAGAGGTTTCAAATATGAAGCCATCCTTCACCATTGAAATTTCACAAAGCTTTCTGGTCCTTATATAGGCCTACTTTCATTGCGGTTAATTAATGTCACTTTTAGTCTTGAAGTTTTTAATTTTGAACATTTTTAATCTCTAAATTACTTTTTACTTTTTTTCATCCTTAAATAATACTTCTTTTATTGAATTAAAAATGTATATGTATGGACAAATTTAATATGTTAATTGACAAAATGACTAAAAAAAAGCATTTTTCATAATTTAGAGGCAAAAAAAGTATTAAAAAATTGTTTATAAATTAAAAACTAAAAATGGCACTTAACCTTTGCATTCCTCTTTGTATTTTTTTTTTTTAAATATTGTACAGTCCAAATTATTTTTTCCATCTAAAAGTAGTAGTCAGCTCTTCATCTTTTAAGGGAGATAAATATTTTGTTTACTTTATCCTTATAATTTTTTTTTAACTTTAATTATCTATCGTATCATAGAAAATTTTCTTTATTTTTATTTATTTTTAAGAGTAAAATAGGTAAAAATAGATAAAAATAAAAATTATCTCAAAATATGTTAAAGTTGAGAGAGGAATGAAGGAGAGGGGAGGAGAAGGCAAAATTTTCTCTTTATTTTATATTTTCTTTTAATTTAGTAATTTATCCAAATGAGGAGAAGAGAGCGGAGGGAAGGGGAAGGAAACGAAAGAATATAATTCCTCTCCCCTCCCTTCCCCTCCTCTCCTCTCCCTTTCTCTCAACCTAAATATAGGTTTAATGTGAATATCCAGGAAAGCAAGAAGCAGCTAGCACCTTTCCATTTTAGCAACTGCATGGTGCATCTGGAACTTTAGAAATGGTATTATTTTTGGGAAGCTTTCATGGGATGAGAACAATCTGGCGGAATTAGTTCAATCTAAAACTTTTTGATGGATTAAGGGGAACTCTTCTTCTGCTATGCTTGGTTTTGGTGATTGGTGTCTTTTCCTGCCCCTTGTCCTGAGGAATTCTAGCCTCTATTTCTTCTCTTACCACAAGGTAAGGGTGAGTACTTCTTGTACTCATTTTTTTAATAAAATAATAGATCTTGTGATAGTGGAAACTTTCCTTTTTCTCTAATAATTCATATTTTGTAATTTAAAATAATTTAGACATTAAAATAAGATTTTTTTTAAGTTATAATTATTTGTAAATTTCAATGTATTGTAAACATGTTCTAAAAACTTTTTAACTTGAATTTCATGAAATGTAAGTGTGGTGAGTGAAAAAATACAAGAAAATTGATTTTTATTAAGTAATTTAAAAAATTTTAAAAATATATCAATTGGTTACTATGTAGTGGTAGCGATTTATAACACAAAGTCATCTTAATTTTTTTTGTTTATTTTTTATTTAAAATTAAAGTATTATTAAATTAATTTTTAAGTCAATTTTTACTCTTCTTAAAATTAATCCATCCTAATTATCTTAATTTTTTTATTTTTCAAGAGAAAGCCTTTTGGTGAATCAAATATGTTGGTGGATTGCCGATAAAATTTTGTTTTTTTTTTTTTTTTTTTAATGTAGCTAGATGGATTTATGGATCAAATCAAACGTACGTGGATGTTGGAAAGGCAGAAGGTGCAATTTAGCCCCTCTACTTCAATTGTTGTGACATATCAGCCCCTTTACTTAAAGGTAGTGCAAATTGGCCCCTCTAATCGACAAAACATATAAATTAGCCCTTCTGTTGATGATGACATCATAAAATGTCTACTTTCCGTTTACTTTTTATTGCCACGTTAATAGAAGGTTACATGGCATTGACTAGAATTTGACATGACAAAAATAATACAACATGGTACTAATTAGAACATGACAAGGTATGGATTTTGATTCAATAATATATTTCTTTCTTTCCTTCCTTCTTTGATTGAAGCACCATTCCATTGCCTGATATATTCTTCCGTCTTCATTGACCCATAAACCCACACCCAAACCCAAACTCAAATGACACCAAAGCTTTTGAAGACTTTCTAGGTGATTCTTTCTCAATTGTTTAGCATTTTAATAGCCAAATAGAAACCCAAGACTTCTCCCTCATCTAAATCTACAATCAAGGGTCTACCTACTTCAATAAGTAACAGAAGTTATAGGCAATTATTAGGTTTAAAACCTTTTTTACCAAACCAAGACTTGATTATGTGATATATTCTTTTTATTATTGGGTGTTGGGTGATATGGATTAGGAAGGTTTTAGTCCCTTTTTGTTTCGCACATAAGGTGTTCAATCAATTGTCTAAGAGAATCATGCTGGTTTTGTATTTTTGATTTGTACTGGGATGTTGCTTCAAAAATAGAAGGGCACATATGAATCCATAACTTTTTAATTTTTTCCCTTTTTTTTTCTAGTTTGTGCTTATATTAAAAAAACATATCAATCCATCTTTAAGATATTTTTCTAAAAGAAATAGATATTACATGTACTTTTATCTAAAATAAAGTTATGTAGATTTTGAGTTACTGAAGATGGAGACTCAATGAGCAAATCACTTGGTGCCAACAAAGCCACAAGTTGTGGTTTTGATTTTCAAGCTTTTCTTAATTTTAATATTTTCATGTTTTGAGAGTTTTTTTTGTTTAATTTTTTTATTTTAGACTTATCTAAAGAAAAATTCAACTTGAACTTTTGGGAAAATGGTAAATCTTTAGTAGGAAGAGAAACAATGTAAGGGAGGAGAGAGAAGATAGATGGCAGAAAAGGAACAAAAGGAAGAAGACAAGTACTCTTTAATAAATTGTGTAGTTCAAATTGGCCACATCACGCACCCAATGCCATATTAGCACCACACCATTCCTTGGTAATAGAGTAACAAGGATGTAGATGGAAAGATGACCTTTGATGATGTCATTGTTAATAGAAGGGCTGATTTACGGGTTTTTGTCAAGTTGAGAGCCTGATCTGCACTATTTTTAAGTAGACGGGCTGACATGCCACAAGTAGTAAAGTAAAAGAGCTAAGTTGCACCTTCTACCTGTTGGAAATGAACCTTTTCCAGTTCATTGTTTTGTTTTTATTGACAGGATTTCAGTTCATTGTTCTTTTTATAGTAATAATACACCTTTACGATTTCGTTGTTTTTATTCAGTATAATAGACCACACGATTTTGTTGTGTCATATCAGAATTGTCCCCAGTAACATCGACGTGGAATCTGAAAATGGACCACAGACGTTAATCCCTCTGCCGACTATAATTGTGGTTTTTTAATTTTGTGTTTTTATTAAATTAATTATTTTTTACTTTTTAAAATAGATAAGTAATTTTTTATTTTAATATTATTATTTATTTTATTATTTATTTTATTAAAAATTTCCTTTTACTTTAAAATTTTTTTTAAATAATATCAGTAAATATATAATTTCTTTAAAATTTTTAATTTTAAAAAAATATAATAAAATTTATAGTTTTTTTATTAAAAAAACACAAATTGTGTATCTTAATTTTTAAATAAATCATTTTTTATACTAGGAGTTCTATTATGGAGCTCTAAATCTATAAAAAATTTATATAGATGATAATTTTACTAAAATAGCTGCC